AAAGCCTTTCATCACCATTTTTACTTGCACCGATCAATTCAAGTAACTTTGTCCATTGATCGCTATCAAGACCCGCAAGATCGTGACGGTCGCGTTCCACACGAACTTTAGATCGGCTCCCATTTCCCTCGGTCGTCGCTAGAGTGATATTAATGCGTGCTCTGCCTCCTCTTCTGCGCCCCACATCGCCTCCTCTTCGGCCCCGATCACTTCTCTCTCTCTCGAGGCCTATCTCCCCACCACTCTGGGTATCCTATGACTTGATAGCATGAATTGCTTTCGTGTCCTGATTTTCCACACTACCCACATGTCATCAACTTTGCCTTTCCCCGAACAGCCGCAACTCTCACATTCGGACCTAGTTGAGCAGCAAACCCTACTGCGTCCCCTCTATCTTCTTTGCTTCGTGCGATATTACGATGCCGTTCCTCTTGAACAATCATCGCATATGCTCTATTCATATTGGGTAGCGGTTCCATGCTCAAAATATTGGACCGTACGGTTCCGTACACCATATCGTCAAGACCCATCAAAAATTGATGGACTCTCTCTTCTTCTCTCTTTCGTTCAAGTGTGACTAAGATGTCACACTTGCAACCGTTGCATCTACACGTGGGTATTGGGTCATAATTCACAAGTTCATCCCACATCATCTTCAGTCGACCATAATATGCCACCACCGTTTGTCCGCGTTGTTTACACACAACTAGGTCAGCCTTCAATTAATGTACACGAGGTCCGTTTCCAATGAATAATATTTGTCGAAGATCCTCCCATAGTTCCTTCACTGTTTCAACGTAGGTTATGGTAGAACGCAACGAGGGTTCGATTGTATTAAATATCCAAGCAACCAACATTGAGTTCACCATTCACCAGTCTTCAATCTCGTTAGAATCATCTTCTGGTTTCACCAAAGTTCCATCGACAAACCCGAGTTTCTTTTTCGCTCGAAGAGCATTCCTCATCGATCTAGCCCATTCCTCGTAGTTTTCCCCTTTCAATTGGATGTGCGAGATTAGTGATCCCAGATTATCGGACGGATGCAAAAAATACGGCGAGATAGCACTCGATTGCGATACAACACTCGCATGTGCTTTTCCAGACCCATCATCGGTTTTCTTTTCCTCACCTGTCATAGGTTTTTTTTTTTTATGGTTTTGTAAATCCCTGCTCTGGTACCATGAAGAAATTGGGGAAAATTTGTTATGTCTCCCTCTATTTCGTATCAGTACACACACACACACACACACACACACACACATATATATATATATATATATATATATATAGACTTTGGAAGCAACCCAAATATTACTCCTACCATGCATAGAAGATTGTGGGAATCAAAACTCTATCTCCTAAGATACGTACAAAGATATACACCATATATATCTCTTTCTTTCAATAGGTTTTATTATGTGTGTCGGTGTGTGGTCTTGCACGTACGAATGTTGTGGTTTTCCTGCCATTTCTTTTTATCTTGTTTTTTTGGTATGAAACTGAGAATGATTTAGTTTTTTTTTTGCCTTCCATTCGTTTAATTTGCTCAATAAATATATGAAAAATATCTTCATCTTTGTGTATTGCTGGAATTTTTTTTTCCACACATATAAATGCAAATGAAATTTATGTCATAAAAATATAAAAGATAAATCTTTAGAGATGTTTGCATTCTGTATTAACTTCAAAATTATGTATCCTTTTGCAAATGATCAAATCTTTTGTTGACAACTTATTTATGCTATTATCCGGGTATAATTTTGTGTACATGTATGATGCATTTATTATATATTTTTTTTTATTGTTTTATTTTTTGGGCTGTCCATTCTCAATAGTATAAGTCAATGAATCTTTGGTAAACATAATTATGTGTGTTTATTCGAATTATTATATAAAAGTATAGTGATTAGGGGTGGGCATTCGGGTCGGGTCGGGTTATTCGGGTCGGGTTATTCGGGTTTTTTGCAAAAAAAAAATTACCCGAACCCGACCCGAAATAACCGGGTACCCGGCAACCGGGTACCCGGTTATCTCGGGTCGGGTTCGGGTCGGGTTCGGGTTTTGCTATTTTCCTCTTTTTTTTTTTTTTAAATAAACAATAACTAAATTTACTTAAGATATATATATATATATATATATATATATATATATATATATATATATATATATATATATATATATATATATATATATATATATATATATATATATATATATATATATATATGATATACATACATATATATATATATATATATATATATATATATATATATATATATATATATATATATATATATATATATATATATATATATATCTATATATATATAAAAAAAAAAAAAAAAAAAAAAAATTCAACCGGGTACCCGATCGGGTACCCGGGTAGGATTTCTAATACCCGGACCCGACCCGGTTTGGGAGCACCGGGTACCCGAACCCGGGAAAAACCCGGTTACGTAAAAAACCCCCCCACCCGGGGGGGAAACACCCGAGGGGGGCGGGTTATACCCAAAAAACCCGACCCGAGCGCCCCACCCTAATAGTGATGATGCTAGAGATAGATTACTTAGAGAGTCAAGTAGGATGAAGTGGAAGAGTAAAGTGGATCACTGGCTCATGAGCTTGATGACCTTGAGATCGCTGCGATCATAGAACACGTAAACTAAGCGGGGTTTGATCCGGCAGAAACCCCTCCCACGCTCAAGTCAGGCGTACGGATAGTGGAACCAGAATACAGTTGGTAGTATTACTCAGATAATAGGACGTACCTTAAGGAATGAATTCAAACATTTATTTATACCTTCTGGCTGAATTTTAATTAGTTGAGATTGTCGGGCCAAAACCTTATTTAAAGGTGATTGGCCTCGGTAGTAGTGGTCTTCAATATTGGGCTCGTAGCCCAGTAAATAAAGAAATTGTAGGTCTATTGGTTGGCCCAATCAAACATATCATATAGCTTGTTTTTTAAATGAATGAATTCGCAGCCAACCATATAGATGCATTGGAGTCACAATTACTAATTCGCGTTCGAAACTAGAAATTGAATCCCATTTAAACCAACGTATCAACATTAGGATTAAGTATTAACATATAAAATATCATTATCCAAAAATAACAACAAAGTGGTATAATCTACTCCATCCTATCAACAGATTAACATTAATAAAAAAAATAAGAACTCATAGCTCTTCTCACTAAAAATATGAGCAATTTCATTTAGATATTCAACCGGTTTGAGTTCCTGCTTCGTTATATGAGACCTAGGTTTGTATTTCACCCAATATCTCCAACTGTAAATTTCATAAATTGCAAAAACATAACTCCATTCACACAAAGACCATATTAATTTGAAGATGAAGATTAATCCGGTAAGAATCAACAATTACGTATGAGATAGACTTCGGAAGACCCAACACCCTAACGAGCAATATGCTGAAATTGTCCAACTACGTCGCGCGACCCCCAAAGGAGAAATGTTTCAGAAAATTCTCCATATTTGTTGAGATGCCCCACCCCCAAATATTCAAGACGATGTCTACATGTGGATTCTCGTAGAATACAATAGTTTTCGAATATTTCGCAATGACTGAGTTTTTTTTCTTGTAATTAATAAATGAGAAGAGGGCTATTTTGTATTGTCCAACTGTGCATCAATTCCGGATTGCACAATCCCACCTATATAGGTGGGATAATTTATCAACCATTTAGATGGTTGGATACCATATATGAATTAATGTCGGGTTTTAATCATGAGCACCAAATGCTTGATTGCAAGTAAGTATGCGTCAATTGACCAAGGTTTGAATCTCCTTGTCAACGGTCGCTAGATGGAACGTATCACACATGATTTATCTAGAATGGTTTACGTCTTCTGTATTATTTACAAGCTATTATACGAGATCAATATATTTATATGATTGTTTTCACATTTCTTCGTTAAAAAAGAAGCCCGACAAAGTATAACATACAAGATAAGACTGTGTGAAACCCCCTCATTGCCCAAGTAATAATTGAATAATACTCATCACCATATATGTACATATTATATCAAAATTAAATCAAATATAATAGGTGTACCATATCATATGAATATATAAATATTTGTAAATTGGAGGTTGATCATATAATTGAATATATTTTGTATAGATGACAACTAAGATGATATTCACCACTAAACCACCAAATTGAGCTGTACTCTATTTTGTGTGATTGACCATTGTCTTCTTCTTTCACATTAATCATACCATATCCAACACAAAAGACTAAAATATTAATTATTGCCCACTTTCCTATTATTTATAATTTGAAATACTTATTAGTAGCTTCAATCTTAATTAGTTCCACCGACGCTAATTAATCCTCCAATCCAATTATTAGGCCAATCATTGTGCTAATCCCTTTTCATCTTAAACTATATTTCTTATTCACTAGGGTAAATTACCACCAACCAACCCTGAAGTATGGTCTAATTACGAAAAAACAGCTCATGTTTTGATAATTACAACCATTCCTCAATTATAAATCTTTTTACACGCTTACCCTTACAGTGTCAAATTTAGTGGAATCTTCTAGATTATATGGAATATTCTCAATTTTGTACATTTTTTATTCCATAGATTTACATTTTGAAGCCTGATGATCAGAAGATGTGTTTCTTAGCTTGTATATATTAGATTGTGATGCATCAAAAACTGCATTTTTGCACAAAACTAGTAAAAACTAGAGAACATTCCACGGAATCTATAAGGGCGGACGTGTAAGAAGATTCATAGTTGAGAGGTAGCTGTAATTATCCAAACATGAGGGGTTTTTTCGTAATCGATCATTCCTCAGCGGTTGTTGCAATTTACCATATTTATTATTAATTCCTTTATTTATTTAAATAAATTAAGTTCAATTATTTTTGCCAAACCGAATATATATATATATATATATATATATATATATATATATATATATATATATATATATATATATATATATAAAGTTGAAAGTTGAAAAGAGAAAATGAAGGTAATCAGAATGTCGATTCTTCTCCCATTGATCGGCCTCCTCCTCCTCGCCACCGCCGGCACCGGTGATGCACACAACATCACACACATCTTGGCCAAGTACCCAGAATTCTCAACCTTCAATCACTACCTCACAACCACCCACCTCGCGGCAGAGATCAACCGCCGCCGCACAATCACAGTGTGCGCAGTTGACAACTCCGGCATGAGCGAACTTCTCTCCGGCCATTACTCCCTCTACACTATCAAGAACATCCTCCGCCTCCACATATTCGCCGACTACTTCGGCTCCAAGAAGCTCCACCACATCACAAAGGGCTCCACCACCACCTCCTCCCTCTTCCAAGCCACCGGCGACGCCTCCGGCACCTTCGGATACGTCAACATCACCAACATGAAAGGCGGCAAAATCGGCTTCACCCCCGTCGTCGTCAGCGACACCCGGCCGGACGGCCAACCCATGGCCACATTCGTCAAATCTGTAGAGGAGTTTCCGTACAACATCTCCGTCATCCAAATCAGCCACATTCTCTCCTCGCCGGATGCTGAAGCCCCCACCGCCAGCCCCACCGACGTAAACATAACTACTCTCATGGCGGAGCAAGGCTGCAAGTCCTTCTCCGACCTCATAATGGCGGACTCAGGCGTCGGAGACACCTTCGCTCTGAGCGTCGAGGGTGGGCTCACCATCTTCTGCCCGTCGGACTCCGCCGTCAAATCCTTCATCCCCAGTTACAAGAATCTTACATCCGGCGGCAAAACGTCGCTGCTTCTGTACCACGGCGTTCCGGTGTACAATTCGTTGGTAATGCTGAGATCCAGCAAAGGACTGATGAACACTCTGGCCAGTGAGGCGGCCGGAAAATACGACTTCACGGTGGAGAAAGACGGCGAAGATGTGAAGCTGCAGACCAAAATTGTGACGGCGATGATTAACGAAACACTGATCGACGAGGACCCACTCGTTGTTTATAAGATCGATAAGGTGCTGCTGCCCAACGAGTTGTTCCACGAGGTGCCGGCGAAGTTGAAGTCCCACGGCGGAGCGGATGCTCCTGGTCCCGGC